CTGCAATGCCAAGGAAAGTACGGTGAATCAGAGATGATACAACGGCGTGTACTTCAGGGACGCGAGAAGCTTCTCGGACCAGACCACCCCGACACCCTATCAAGCCTCAACAACCTGGCTGTCACGCTGGAATCCCAAGGAAAGTACGGCGAATCAGAGAAGATGAAGCGGCGTGCACTGGAGGGATGCAGGAAGGTTCTCGGACCAGACCACCCCAATACCTTAAAAATACTCAACAACCTGGCTATTGTGCTGGAATCCCCAGGAAAGTCTGGTGAATCAGAGGCGTTGAGGCATCATACTCGAGCACATGGCTGAGGCTGCCAAAAAAAACTCCGGACAATGCATAGCTGCAATCTGCAGACCCGATTGACCTTACTTTTGTACGACTCACACTTCCCGAAGCGCGATGCCCGGCAATGCGATTCACCATGTTGCATGCTGTTTGTCTGGACTAGGGGTGACCTAATTGGGTTACCAATTTCCACTAATGTGGGAAGCTGTTGTAATACACCGCGGGCAATGGGACGATGTGCGGAACTAACCATAATTAAGAGTGAGAGGTAGTGGCGGATAATAAAACTATTGGCTATGATCGTGAGAGTGTGTCTTGTGGTTCTTGTCATTTCTGTACACATCCCCGGAGTCCTATATATACACAGTTCATCCTCCTAATACCAGGTCTGAATCCTTTCTCTTACCGACTAGAAACTTCCACACACGCCTAGCACCGCTTGGCCTTCATCGTGCGACATACCATTGTCTCAACTCTGCACTAGCCCCTTAATCTCTTACTCAACAACCATCACCATCGTTCCCAAATCCTCCAGAACTTTTTCCAGACAAACTGTGCTTCACCACCTGTCTCAGGCTCATATTGTGTTCAATCTCTTGACTCTTGATATGTACGCCTAACAACCTTAGAACCATAAGGCGCTTTGACCACATCCTCTCTAACATATGTAAAACCTTTCGTGCCACACTAGGGAGACAAAAAAAGCTTCACGAATTTCAACAGCGGACTATTGAATTATTTTTGTTGCAACGGATATTCGTCCATCGATGGAGGATTGAACATTTTACCATTTCGTTTTCTGTGGGTTCCAGTCTCGTTTATCAGTGCACTTGTTCATTTTCATAGCGAATTATCTTTTCTGCCCTATCACCCCGTAAGATCCTGGCAGCCACCTTGTCACCCTACAGAATCATAAGAGGTCACTCTTTTGTTAATGGCGTTATCCATCAAATTTGTAAGTGTGAAGGTGCGATCAGAATTACCCCCGGAACCCCAGACCCTAAGTTACCGCCTGCATCGTTCCAAATACCAATTTTGCAACCTTACGTTCCAAGTCGCTAGGACAGCCAGAGCAAGGCCGTTGTCTCCTCCGTGCTTCCGCCAGCTGCTCCGGGCTAAGTCCCCACTTCGACTCATCAGACTACCAATCGCAATCTGCCAACCTCCTGCTCTCACGACTGACGGAGTACTGTACCTTTCCGTGAACGCTGCAGACCATATAAGACCCTAACAACTGTCTGTTCGTACAACTCGGCCATGCTGTCGATCCCGCGTAAGGTGAGATCGCTTGGAGCCGATATGTTTCCCCGCATCGCATGAGACCGGAATAGTTCCCGAACCATATTGTGATGGGATTCTGCTAACTACTGCCAACCCAACCAAGCCTGCCTCCAAAGAAAGGTAATCGTGACGAGCAAGAAACTCCAACTCCGGGTGCTCTAGAGGTCAAAGAGCAAACAGCAGACCCCAACCATCCTACTACACTCGGCACCCGTAACTGGCCGTCCTTTTAGGCCGCACCTGGATGACCCTGGCATTTCCCGGGGGTTGGTCTGGCCGGCACAGCCGATCCCAGCAGGCTTCCGAGTGACAGTACATGATTTCCACACTTGATGATCCCAGGACATATATAGATCGACATAGATCGTCTGCACGTAAGTGCCAACAATGCATGATATGTTATCTTCGCCATGATTTCTTATGTGGGTTAGGGTTGAAAGACCCCCGGGTGCAGATCTTGGTGTAAATCCGCATTGTGGGCTCAAATGCTCGCCTAAACAATTGTGCCCTCAATCAGACCATCGGGGTAATAAAAGAAAGGAATAGTTTGATGCGGAACTGCTATGAAGGGTGCTTGTTGAGACACGCGGCTAGGTATATGCGAGGAGGAAAATGGATTCGGGGTTCCGGATAATACCGAAGTGGTTGTGGAAAAAGGCCTTGTGATCATAGAATAATTATTAACGTAGGGGTAATTTTTTTGCTCTTCCCTGTTATACGAGCTGATGCAGCATCGTCACTAGTCTCAGATTTCTGAACTTCACTCAGCCCTTTTTTCTTCTATTCCCTTCGTGCGTGCGAAGTTAGCTTCGGATATTCCCTTGCTTTGGCGGGCATTCGGGGATACCAGTAGAGCGCGGTTGGTGTTTGATGGTATCTACTGGCTATCTGATAACTGCTACCAAAATACATACTGTACCACCTACTCTGGATATCTCAAGGCCTAACGTAAATCACCGGTTTCCGGGACAACACCGTGCACCGGGACAGTGTACAACCAATTAAACAAAGAAAACAATTCAATGGTAACTTTGCAAGAAAAAATCATAAAAATATCCTGAAACCAGCGATAGAATGAGGAAACCCAGACCAAGAGTATCTATGAGAAGTTAAAAAAATAAAATAAAAACCTGGATTTTTAAATAAATTAGTTATGGATAAGTATATTGAGATCGATAAGAGGGGGAAATATACCAAAAAAGAGGCATAAGAAAGAAAAAACTAGCGCTTTGAGCATAGCTTCATATGGAGAGGGCGGTCTGGCATATGGGTGCGGGCAAAAAGAGGTCTGAAGGGGGTATTGGAGGAGCAGCGGCGGCGAGCAGAGAAGGTGTTTTAGTAAGCTTTCCACAACGCATCAGAAACCACCTCAATAGCCTGATCGGTATTAGGAGTAGTAGGCGTTACAGCTGAGCTTTTTCTGAGGTTAAAGCTATTTGGGTGTATTCAGGCTCGTTCCGGAAGTCAGGCTCAGGGTGTGGAGTGCTTGGAAGTGTAATCGGAGTGGTGGTTTTTTTCTTCTGTTGACGTGATTTTTTAGGATGGCGATCAAGCTCTTCTCGTGCCTTGCGCAATCTAATAAGCTCTTTGCCAGTAAGCACACGAGCTTTTGAGAGCTGCTTTCGATCTGCTCTGGTGTTGTAGGTCTTTTTCTACCATAAGCCATCACACACCTTCTCCTGAATCTCTTTCTCGGCCATTGACAATAATGCAGCATGACTGAGAGATTTTAGGATTTTCTTAATTTTTGTGACTGAGGCACCATTATCTATGTAATGGTTTGCAGCCTGTAGTTGACTGTGGAGATCGCGAGAGCTTTGTGGTGTGCGGAAAGGTAGAGTACTGCTGGTAGAAGGAAGTACATTCCGCTTATCATCATGCGTAGGCTTTAGTTTAGTGTAAACGCGGCGTGGATTAAGCGGTACAATGCCTGTTGTAGTAAAGGCCTGTTCGATATTGCGCTTGGTGATTGCCGCGATTCTGGCATCATGCAGAAGAGGAATAAAAACTGACTTCTTTATACCCTCTTCACTGTTTCGGCTATAGTTGTCAACTTCACGGCCATAAAAGTTTTGTAGTGGGCCGAAGATCCCCACGTCAAGGGGCTGGAGTAGATGTGTTGAGTGGGATGGGAGACAAAACAGAATAATATTTTTCTGCTTGCAATAGGTGGAAAACTCCCATGTGATATGGGAGCCATGACCGTCCAGTATTAGGAGTCGAGGAAGAGGGGCAATTGATGCAGTACAGGGTTCAAACAATTCCGTAACCCATTTCAAAGCCACCGCATCGTCAGTCCACCCATTAGGGGAAAACGCAAACCGGTAGTCAGCTATCGTAGTACTTAAATTGGTGTACCAGCCCTTGTACTGTGCACTACCTTTATTAATTACTAGTGGTGGAAGAGCATAGCCTGCAGCGCAAATCGTTTCAACTACTGTGACCATTTCTCGAGTTCCTTCATGTGTAACATGAGGGTTTTTGCGCCTGCGGTGATAGATAACCTTTGCTCTTACTGCGATCCCCATCAAGAACCCTTTCTCGTCCATATTAAAGATTTGAAAGGGCTTTAGGTTATGCTGGCGGATAATTTAAGAGAGTTTTGAGAAATAATCTCACAATAGCCGTAGACGGCTCGCATGTGCCCTCTGACGGTCCAGTTTCGTAGTAAACTTAGTAGCCATATCAGGATGACGGTCAAGAAACCTCGTCATCCAATTTTTTTCTAATCTTTTACCCTTATCGCCTGTTCTCTTCTCATACAGAAAAAGCGCCATACTTTTTACCATATCTAATCGTGGTGGAAACCCTCGGTTATCCTGCTCCATATACCAAGCCACTATTGCTTTCTCTTCCTCAGCTGAAACTAACTGGTTATCGACCTGCGCAAGATGGCGGCTGGTTCATTCTCCAGTATAACGGTAGTAGAGTGTGGACTTTGGAACGTCGAAAGCCTCAGCAGCTGCTCGGATGCTTTCCTGACAGCCTTCCTTTAGGGACCTAATTGCGGCTGCAATACTTGTCTCGCGACTGGTATTATTGCGCTTCTTGACTGCTGGCATTGTGGAGTGATTTGGGTACTTTGATGATGTTTTGGAGCGGGGTAACTACCTTAGCACATTGTCTCACTTTAGTGCGATTGCGCCATTCCGCTTCCGGGTGATGTCCCGGATCCACGTGATTTACGTTACCGCCAACGGCAGACACTTATAAAACTTGGCTTACGGGGCCAAGGTGAGTCTCACTTTGACCTTTCCTGGCTGTGCGATATTGCTGCTGTATGGGTATCAGCTGGTAGGCCTAGCGGCTTGCGTCGCCTCACGAACGCAGACCATACAAATTATGATCAAAAACCTCACCCCCGCATTCGATGGCTGGGCAAATCATGCAGAGGTATGAAAGCTACGGCGGCCGATACCAGAAGGCAGAAAGAAGGCACTTGTTTGGGCGGGAAATGCTTTTTGGCTGTGCACCTCATATCGGATCATCTACCGTTCCTTGCTGACGAAGAAAAACGCGCCTTGGTTCCCGTGGTTTGCTTAGTCAGCATCCACAATCTTATCGATCTGCTAGCCTCACTTTACCCATAAACGCCCCGCTGAGTTACCTGGCGATAGCATCGCACCCTTTTTCCCGCGACTAGTGGACATCGCTAGCCTCTGGCTTTCACTACCCCATTATCTGGCGAGAACCGGCAGACGCCTTTACGTCGAAATCAGAAATGGCTCTGGTGAAAGCTACAACCGCAGCGAAACTAGAGGCGCGAAAGGTTTGGTTCTGGCTAAAGTGAGTTAGGATGTGGCGTTTTTTAGCGTCTTCACGGCAAAGCACGGATAAAAACCTTATTTGAATATAATTAACCTTCTAACGGTTCTCACTAGATAATGCGGCATATCGCGTACTGGGCGTCTATCCATTTCCTACATCCCACACTAACACCCGAAATCGGCCCCTGGTATTAATGTACCTCACGTACTAGACTCGGCTGCGCTCTCCACCTCGGCCAGGAAATTTTTAACCGGCGCGACGGCGGTCTTATCCTGTATTGCGACTAACACCCTGGGGATTTGGCTGCGCTCTTTGCTTCGGCTGTGCCCTTGTAGTGTCCTGGGGCTAGGTCCTTCTATCCGGAATTTTTTACCTAGAACGAAGGCAGCCTCCCCACCCGTATTACTACCAACACACTCCGCTTTGGATTGATCCTCCACGTCCCCAGCAGTACCCCAGGCGAACCGCTAATCCTGCGGTAATGGGAGTGTTTCGTGGTGAGGTAGGGAGAACGGAGCTGAAGCGCTCTGGAAGTCCCGCCGCTATGCTTGGTGAAGGACAAAAAGGACATTCTCGTTACTTACTTTTTGATTTAAATCACTTCGCTTATTTTTATGGACTCTGTGAATAAATCTTGGGTCCATTCGCGGGCAAGGTCTCTCGGCGACTGATCTCTTCCCATCCCAACCCACCAGTACAGCAGCGAAATACCCTGACGTCCTGTTGCACTCGGGTATGGACGTGGGTGACTGGACAGTTGGGGATTAGTGGTATTAAAGCTCCTTGCTCATCCCAACATGTTCCATGCCGAGTAGGCCCCCTCATTTCTGATGATGGCAGCAAGCTTTAGCCTTCCATTCTCCCAGCTATCCGGTCTCCCACATCCATACCCTAGTAGTAGAATTAGCATAGATCGCGTCGGCTAGATCTCGCAATCAACTTTTAAGATGCTCATAATGTTGGTAAAACCTAAAGGAAGACACGAAAGAGTGGAGCAGTAAACCAGCAGATATATATCTCCTAACAGCTAACAAGTCCAGAAACCAAAAGAAACTCCACAAATTCTGAAGAAATATACTCTCCTTCCAAATCATGATTCACCGCTATTCTCCCGCAGTCTAGAACCCTCCGGATATCCCCTTATCCTCTGTGACAACTCAAGTCGACTACCATGAACTTAATTCTATAGGATGTGAGAGAAACAAAGCAAATCTCCATACCCGATGGCTGGGGATTGTTGTTAGGGACAAGATTCAGACCTCGCATGCATGGTAATCCTTTGTACTGGTACAATGGCTGCGGCCAAGGTACTTCCGCGGCACTGTCACTTCTCCTCTCTGCTAGGGGTCCTTTCGTGGGTAGTGGCAAAGAACCAATATTCCCGGTATCGTTGATACCAGAGTCCGGGAAAGAACTTCACCAATGATGACAATTTCACTAACGGGTGAGAAAGCGAATCGAAGAAGAAAAGACTGCTCTGTAAGACAGGGTAGGGTGGGGGAGAGAAAAAGGAGAAAGGAAAAAGCTCCTGTGATACAAGTCTCCCCCTCAGTATTCCTTCCCCCTCTATTATTCTCTACCGGACCCCTAACTAGCCGCGTTTTCATCATCGTCATCCATGGGAAAAATAGAAACTTATAATGAATGAACAAAACGCTAGATGACAACTATTGTTGTCATTTTCGAAGTCTGCTCTCATCTCCCCTAAAAGTACCCCTTTCTATCCGCGAGAATATTGTGAACGGGACAGTACAAGCTAAGGAGGGCAACCGACCTGATGGAAAATCAAAACCCCCTGGGTGGGTTTTCTGCGGCCATACCGCGGATTGATGCCAGAACCTCCAGGTTCTCGCGAGTTCCTACATAGGGGAATGCTTCCGGATGAAACGCTTCGCTGCCTCTGCTACAGCCTCGAGGTGCATTGTGCGGAAGTCGGTAAATGGTCGTAGGGTTCGGGTTGTGACCGCATGCAACGCGCGCACTATTTTTAGCGGCAGCCGCAGGAGGCAGTCAGTCGTATTCCAATGCGCCATTAGGATTGGAAATTCCTCCTCCGGGAATATGCACACTGATGCAAGCCCGGAATTTTTCACAGGCGTCATGGAATTATTATTGGTATCATATGGTGAAGTGATGAAGGAGTACTTGTACCGGGAGTGTTACCTTTCGGTACGTTAGTTAAATTTATCACCAATTCCCCGCTCGGTGACTTAACCAAGTTTTTGGCAAGATCATGAGTGTGATTCGCTTTGAAGAGAGAGCACCCTCTATACAGAATGTAGTAGGCTGGTAGGCCAGGGCCTCGATCAAGGATGGGCCAAACTACTGTACACTACCGGTATTGGTATATCGCCATCATTTTATAGGTTCAAAGATATATAAATTATATTCTGTAAAAAAATCAGGTGATGGAGTGCTTCACAATACGCGGCTGCGGTGGGATGGTGGAAATTTTTCGCTATCCTATGATAAGGCTATTGTCGCACTATGTCTCGCACGCCGGAGCAAGCCATGCACCAATCACTGGTCACTGCCCAAATTGTGGCCCCATATTAAGCTGAGTATATTGCCCAAAGTTGAAGAGACCCAGCGGTGGCGTGCAACGCCATGTTGTTGCTTTTGCCCCGCTTTTTCTCAGTCCAGGCGGGGAAGACTTCTGACTTCGGAAGAGCAAATTTCATCCTTCCTCACTGCCTCTACACGCTGTCGCTCTACTTTACCCTATCCGAGTACTGGAACGGCCATACAACACCCTCATACCAACCGCTCAGAGCCCAAAGAAGAGTATCGCCCTAGCCAGAATATTATACCTACAGCTGGATCAAAATCACAGAACCAAGAACCCCCGTACCGAAGGTTGGGTCCGTGACTACTTGTTTTATCGTGCTATATCGCGGTTACCGACTTTTTCCAGGGCCTCGCGAAAACAATTTTAAACCACCTCGATAGGCGACAATTAGGCTATACTTCCCGTTTCGGTTACGCTAGCAACATCTCACAACTTTTATACTCGACCTTTGAAAGCAGCCCTACTCGTCGGGTGAGCCAGGAGCACGATGGATCAGTGGGTTCACCCTGCCTTTAATGTCTGCGTAATTAAAAGAAAAAATGAAGCGCTCATCTAAGGATATTCACAGGAAAATCCAAGCCAACATTAGGGGGGAATTCAGTGGGAATTCAGGGGATCATAATGTCTCCGGTAGCAACAACCATAACCTAAATATGGGCCACCAGAGCTATGCGGCCAATGTCGGAACAATGTATCAAGGATGCACGTTTAAATCTGAGGAAAGAGGTATGGCTGGCATTCTCGAGAGCTTTCGGCTGGGTGTTAATATGCTACTGCGACCGGAAGAGAGATCTAAGCCTTATCGAATAATTCCCTACAGTAGGAACCGTAAATTCACTGGTCGTGAACATCTTATTCACTCGGTAGAGAGGCTTTGCAAGCGTGATGGCCACAACCGGATCGCTCTTCATGGATTAGGAGGCACTGGGTACGTAGTCGATAATTTTATATCCGGAGCTTTTACTAACATGGCTTAGAAAAACTCAGATTGCCCTCGAATACGTGTATCGGCGTGCAAGTGAGGCGGATTGTGACATATTCTGGGTGCAAGGGAGTGGAGCGTCAAAGTTTAGGGAGGACTTCAGGGCTATTGGGAAACACGTTTGGAATCCTCTAGCTAGCGGTGAGACGGAAGAAGAGGGATTCCTATTGGGTATAAAGAGGTGGTTTGAAGGTCGAGACCGCCATAACTGGATCCTGGTAATTGATAATGCCGACAACGAGGAGGACTTTGTTAGCAACAACAGTCCTATCGCTAAGTTTGTGCCACAAGGCCTAAGAGGCACGGTAATATTCACCACCAGATCTCGCCAGGTTGCATTCCGGCAAGAGTGCGAAAGGATCGATATTGGAAAAATGGCCGAGGATGAGGCCAAGGCACTGTTTTTCGAACACTTTGGAGGCTGGGGAAGCATGAGGGATAGGGAAAGAGAGGTAGTTGCCATGATCCTGGGTTCGGTCGATCACCTGCCGCTTGCGGTAGTAGGTTCAGCGGCTTTCATGGCCGAGACCGAAACACTGCCCTCCGACTACTGGACAATTTTCCAGGAGAACGATGAGCGAAGGACCAAGCTACTTTCACAGCAGTTTAGCGATATCCGCCGAGAGTCTGACGTGACGGAAAGTATTTTGAGTACTTACTTCATCACCTTTGACCGAATTACGAGGCAGATGCCGACTGCCGGCCATCTCTTGCGGCTAATTGCATTCGTTGATTGCCAAAATATACCTGAGCAGCTCCTGAGAGAATGTGGGGCTGAAGGGATGGATGATCCTGTTGAATTCCGTCGGGCTGTTGGGAAACTATTGGGATTCTCACTAGTTACCGCGAGTAAACACGAAGGCAAGACCTTTTATGAGCTTCACCACTTGGTTCAGCTATCAATACAGGCCTATTTATCGCCGGAAGAGCTGCATAAATGGATTGACAACGCACTAAGCATAGTTTCCCGAATGTTCCCTAGATATGAACACGAGCTGCGGGATATTTGCAAGTCATACATTCCACATGCAATTGTGGTAACGAAAGGCAGAACAGATATTATATCTGAAGATCTTTGTTTTCGTATGGCGGAGTACTTTCTACACTTGGGTTCCTACAACAATGCAGAAGCACAGATCTATCGATGTATCAGATTTCGCGAGGAGAACAAGGAGCAAGGCTGGGATAAAGGTCATAGGAGATTGATGCTCCTGGGGCGGCTGAGGGCACGCCAAGGGAGGGCTAAGGAGGCGGAGGAGATACTTCGGAATGCGCTGGGGGATCTTGGGGGGTTACGGGGTCCGCATGATTCTGACGCCTTGGAGTGCTTATCCTACCTGGCAAGTGTGATGACTGACATCGGAAAGTACGATGAATCAGAGACCGTCAATCGGCGTGCATTAGAGGGACTGGAGAGAATTCTTGGGGCAGGTCATCCAGACACCCTCAGGAGTGTCAGCCACCTGGCTATTGTACTTTGGAGACAGGGAAAGTACAGTGGATCAGAGGCAATGAATCGGCGTGCACTGGAGGGACGCGAGAAAGCTCTTGGACCAGATCACCCCGACACCCTATCAAGCTTCAGCAACCTGGCTATCGTGCTGGAATGCCAAGGAAAGTACGGGGAATCAGAGACGATGAAGCGGCGTGCACTAGAGGGACACGAGAGGGTTCTCGGACCGGACCACCCCAACACCCTAAGAAGCCTCAACAAGGTAGCTATTGTGCTGCAATGCCAAGGAAAGTACGAGGAATCTGAAACGATACAACGGCGTGGACTGGATGGACACGAAAAGGTTCTCGGACCAGATCACCCCGACACCCTATCAAGCCTCAACAACCTAGCTATTGTGCTAGAATGCCAAGGAAAGTACGGGGAATCAGAGACGATGAACCGGCGTGCACTAGAGGGACGCGAGAAGGTTCTCGGACCAGACCACCCCGACACCCTATCAAGCCTCAACAACCTGGCTATTGTCCTAGAATCCCAAGGAAAGTACGAGGAACCCGAGAGGATGCATCGGCGTGCACTAGAGGGACGCGAGAAGGTTCTTGGACCAGACCACCCCAAAGGCCCTATCAAGCCTCAACAACCTGGCTATTGTGCTGGAATCCCAAGGAAAGTCTAGCGAATCAGAGGCGTTGAGGCGGCATACTCGAGCACACGGCTGAGGCTGCCAAAAAAACGCGGACAATACATAGTTGCAACCTGCAGACCCTATTGACCTCAGTTTTCCTGCGACACACTCTTTCGCAAGCTCCGTGCCCGACAAGGCGATTAATCATGTCGTATGTAGTTTGTCTAGATGAGAGGTAACCTATGTTTGCTACCGCGTCCCACTAGCATAGCTGGCTGTTCGAATCTACGGCGAACAATGGGGCAATGTCTGGAACTCTCTAGAATTATTATACGAGTAAGAGGCAGTGGGGAACTATTTAATTGTTTGTTACAAGAAATACTCGTCTATCAAACTGCAGGGAATTTTACCCTTTTATTTTCGCTGGCTTCTGGTTTCGTTTAGTAGTGTATTTGTTTGTTTTCAAAGCCAATTATCTCCTTCTGCCCTATCGCCCCGTAAGATCGAGTCAGCCCCCTTTTTTCCCGGTTGAATCACAAGAGGTCACTCCTTTGTCAATGGCGCCACCAGGAATCCCACAAATTTGTATGTGCGAAGACACGATCAGAATTATCCCCGGAACCCCAGGTCCTACCCGCCGGCGTCTTTCCCAATAAGTATTTTGCACCCTTATATCCCAAGTCGCTAAGGTAGCCAGAGTAAGGTTCTCGTCTCCTCCATGCTTCCGCCCCTGGCCAGGGGCCTACTCCCCACTTTGGCTGGTCAGACTACCAACTGCAATATGTCCACTTCCTACTCTTAGGACTCACGGGGTGCCTTGTCGTGAACTCTGCAGACGAGATAAGACCCCAAGAACTGTCTACAACCCCACCATGCCGCCGCGATCCCAGGTAAAGCAGGACCGGTCAAAGACTATGCGCTGTCCCACACTACTTGGGCCCGCAATGGTTCCCGGACCATACCGTGACGGAATTCTGCCAACTACTACCAACCCAACCAAGCCTGCATCCAAAGAAAGGTAATCATGACGAGTAAGAAACTACCACTCCGAGTGCTCTAGAGGTCAAGGAGAAAGCTGTTGACCCTAACCATCCTACTATACCTAGCACCTGTAACCGGCCGTCCTTTTGGGCCGCACCCGGATGACCGGGCATTTCCGGGGGTTGGCCTGGCCGGCACCGCCGGTCTAAGTTGACTTCTGAGTGACAGTGCATGATTGCCAAGCTTCTTGGTGATCCCGGGACATACTCCCGCGGCCGAGTTGAAGTTGGACACCCAGATGGAGTAGTGATTGCCGGCCCAATGAATGGGCATATCCGGAGCATCAAGGTGACGACAGTAATTCCATATACCGTATTCTCCAGGTAGGGTATTAAAGGCTGTGATTGATCGGGAATGTCAATCGTTTCATGAAAAGCTTCGAAAAGTAATACTAAGCAATGGAAATAATAATTTCAACGGCTAGATTCCGGGTTATATGGGTATGCGATGGCTTGCCAGGTGATGTAGTATGAGAACGACTTATGCAGTGTTTTTATTTTATATCGTATGTGATTATTAATTGTGTTGCCTTGCATCGGTCTGTTATTGGCCCGGCAATTACTACCCTATGTGGGTGTCCAACTTCAACTCGGCCGCGGGAGTATATGCTTCGACATAGATTGAACGGGTCACCAGTGTATGTGCCAATGGCTTCTGCACGTAAGTACCTACAATGGGTGATATGTTATCTTCGTGATGATTTCTTATGTGGGTTAGGGTTGAAAACCCTCGGGTGCTGATCTTGGTGGAAATCCGGAGTGTAAGCTCATATGCTCGCTTAAACAGTTGTGCTCCCAACTTGTCCATCCGGGTAAAAAAAAGAAAATACTCCAATGCTGAATTGGTATGAAGGGTGCTTGTTGAGACGCAGCTGAGGCGATACGAGGAGAAAAATGGGTTCGAGGTTGGGGACGATACCGAGGTCGTTGGGGAAAATAGCTTTGGATTCATAGAATAATTGTTAACATGCAGGTAATTTGGGTTTATGTACTGTTCAGGTTAGGAGTATGTCGGGTGATACAGTATGAGTTGGCGTAGCCTCAGCACTACTCGAGTACTCTCGGCTCTTTGAACCTCGCGGAAAGGCTATTTGATTCCCTTGGTGTGTGTGAAGTTAGCTTCAGGTATTTCATTGCATAAGGAGGATGTCGGAAATATCAGTAGAGCGCGGTTGGTGCTTGGCGATATATGCTGGCGTCTGGTGGCTGCTGCCCGTTGACGAAATACATGCTGGCTAATCTGGATATATGAGAGCCCACCGTCGCCAGTAGGCACTCATAAGGCCTATGTAGGCTTTGGGAAAACCGGGCTTACAAAGCGGGGGTGAGTCTCGCTACCGATATGATCTGTCCTGGCCGCACGGTCTACCTACCCTACAGGCTAACAGAGTAGGCTTAAAGTTAGTCGTTTGCAAACATTGACCACACAAACAACTATCGACGGCGGGGGAAAGCATGCTGAAGTGGGGAACCTACGGTGGAACGCACTGGAAGCCAGTAGGAATGGGCTTGTCGGACCCGAATCCCTTTTTGGCTGTTCGCCCCGTGAGGCTGATGTGCCCTACCTCGATGACTAAGAAAAATGCGCAGAGATTCTGGGTGGTTTTCTTAATCAGCACCCGCGACGTAATCGGACATCTTACTTTACCCCTCAACAGAAGCCGCGACTACTGAACACTATCCACCTCTGACTTCACTACCGCATTATCTGGCGAGAACTGGCAGGCATCATTATGTCGGAAAAAGAAGTGCCTGTGGTGAAACTTACAATTGCGTCATCAAGCCCTGAGAGGTTTGGCCATGGCTATGAGGAGCTGGATATGGCGTTTTACTGAGCTAAGTTACCGAGACAAGGCAAGGATGAGCTCCTTATTTGAATGTTCCCGTGCCTCGGGCTTCACGCTGATTTAGATAACACGGTATATCACCTACCGGGCCGCCTATCCGTTTCCCACGTCCTACGTTCGCAACCGGCCTTGGACCATAATAGTAATGTATGCTTGCGGATTCGGCTGCGCTCTACACTTCGGCAATAGCCTTATAATATCCTCGGGTTACTTCTATCTAGAAATTTTAATTGGCACGACCGCAGCTTTACCCTCGCCCGTATTACTACCAGCACCCTCCCCCTTTAGGTCAATCCTCCACGTCTGTGGCGCTACTTTGGGTGAACCGCTAATCCCGCGGTAATGGCCGTACGGTATCTCATGGTCGGGTAGGGAGGACGGATCTAAAGCTCAGGAAGTCCCGCCGCTATGCTTGGTGAAGGACAAAAAGGACCAATTCTCGTTCCTTTCTTTTTAATTTAAATGACTTCGCTTATTTTTACGGATATTGTGAATCCGTCTTAGATCCATTCTCGGGTAAGTCTCCCGGCGACCGATCTCCCCCATCCCAACACGCCAGTATAGTAGCGAAGTGCCCCGACGTCCTCACTTGGGTACCGGTATAAACGTGGGCGACCGGACAGTCGGAGATTAGATTACCTGTAGAGGTATTAAAGCTCCTTGCTCGTCCTAAAACTTTTATGCTCGTGTGGTTCTTTCATTTCCTGCGATACTAGTAGGCTTTAGCCTCCCGATTCTCCCAGCTGTCCGGCCTCCCACATCCATACCAGAGTAACAAAATTAGCACAGGTTGTTTTGGCTAGATCTCGCAATCAATTTCTAAGATCCTCGTAATGCTGGTAAAACCTGGGGAAAGACACTAAAGACGAAGAAGTAACCAAGGGACACATATATCCAAACAGCTAACAAGTCCAGAAACTGAAACAAACCCCACAAATTCTGAAGAAATACACCCTCCTTCCAAATTATGATCCTCCGTCATCTTCTCGCGATCTAGAACCCTCCGGATATCCCTTTATCCCCCGTGACATCTCAAATCGACTACCATTTTCCCAATGCCATAGGGTGTGAGAGAAGCGAAACAAATCCCCATACCTGATGTCATTGTTAAACACAAGAATTAGACCTCGCATGCGGGGCAATTTTTTTTACCCGCATTATGGCTGCGGCCAAGGTATCATACTTCCAGGGTGCTTTTCTACCCGCTAGAACTTGTAAACGGGACTGTACAAGCTACGGGGGGCACCCGACCTCACGAAAAGTCATAATCCACCTAGATGTGTTTTCTGCGGCCATATCGCGAATTCCCGCCAGAAACTCCAGGTTGGCACAAATCCTTACATGGCCGGGAGACTTCCGGTTGAAACGCTTCACCGACTTTGCTACAGCCGCGTGATGGATTGGACGGAAGTCGGTAAATTTAAGCGGTCGTGGGGTTCCGGTTGTGACCACATGCAGCTTGCTTACCAGTTTTTGGCGTCAGGGGCGGGAGATATTGAGTCGTATTCGGGTACGCGAAGTGCATTGGAAATTCCCCCACCGGGAATATGCGCACTGATTCAAGTCTGGAATTATTCACAGGTGTCATGGAATTATTATTGGTATCGTACGGTGAACACGGTGAACGGGCGAAAGAGCACCCAAGTACTTGTAGTGTGTTACCTCTGGCTACCTTAGTTATCACCACTTCTGTGCTCGGTGGCATGCTCAATTTTTGCGGCAAGATGATGTGTGTGATTCGCCTTGAAGAGACAGCACTCTTCAATTAAGAAAGGAAGAGGCTGGTAGGATAGGACGTCTTTAAATGGTGGGCCAAACTACTCTACCGGTATTTGTATATCGCCACCATTTGATAGGTTCAGAGGTATATGAATTATGCGAGTATTCTGTAAAAAGTCAGCTCATGGAGCTTTTCAAAATGCATGGCTGTGGTAGGACGGAGGAATATTTTCGCTATCTTAAAGTCATTGTTGCACTATGTCTCGCATACCGTGCCAAGCGCGCATCAAATCACCAGCCACAACCGAACTATCGTATGCTCTGGAACGCCATGTTTGCTTTTGCCCCACTTTTTCTCAGCCCGGGCGGGGAAGACTTCTGACTTCTGAAGAACAAATTTCATCCCTCCCCACTACCACAACACACTGTCGCTCACTCGAGTACGGTACTCGAGTACAAGAACACCCATACAACATCCTCACACCAACTGCTCAGCGTCCACAGAAGTAGTATCGCCCTAGCTTAGATTATACTCACAGCTGCCTCAATCTTAAAGAACTAAAAAAAAAACCCTGTACCCAAGGCTGAGTCCGTTACTACTCGTTTTGTGGTACTACATCTCGGTTATTGAGTTGTTTCAGGGTCTTGCGAAAACAATTTCAGACCACTTCAATAGGCAGCAATTAGGCGATATTTCCTGTTTCAATTACGCTAGCGACATCTCACAAATTTCATACTCCACATTCGAAACCAGCCCTAGCGTGAGCCAGAAACCGGATGGATCAGTGGGTTCACCCTGCTTTTAATGTCTGCGCAATTAAAAGGAAAAATCAAGCACTCATCTAAGGATATTCACAGGAAAATCCAAGCCAATATCAGCGGGGAATTCAGCGGGAATTCAGGAGATCATAATGTCTCCGGTAGCAACAACCATAACCTAAATATGGGCCACCAGAGCTATGCGGGACCAATGTCGGAACAATGTATCAAGGATGTACATTTAAATCTGAGGAAAGAGGTATGGCCGGCATTCTCGAGAGCTTGCGGCGGGGTGCTAATATGCTACTGCGACCGGAAGAGGCATCTAAGCCTTATCGGATAATTCCCTACAGCAGGAACCGTAAATTCACTGGCCGTGAACATCTCATTCACTCGGTAGAAAGACATTGCAAGCGTGATGGCCACAACCGGATAGCTCTTCATGGATTAGGAGGCGCTGGGTATGTGTATTCGATAATTGTATATCCGGATCGTTCACTAACATGGCTCAGAAAAACTCAGATTGCCCTCGAATACGTCTATCGGCGCGCAAGAGAGGGCGATTGTGACATTTTCTGGGTGCAAGGAAGTGGAGCGTCAAAGTTTAGGGAGGACTTCAGGGCTATTGGGAAACACGTTCGGAATCCTCTAGCTAGCGCTGAGACGGAAGAAGAGGGATCCCTATTAAGTATAAAGAGGTGGTTTGAAGGCCGAGACAACCGTGATTGGATCCTAGTAATTGACAACGCCGACAACGAGGAGGACTTTGTTAGCAACAACAGTCCTATTGCTAAGTTTGTGCCACATGGCCTGAGAGGCACGGTAATATTCACCACCAGATCTCACCAGGTTGCATTTCGGCAAGAGTGCGAAAGGATCGGTGTTGAAACAATGGCCAAGGATGAGGCCAAGAAACTGTTTTTCAAACACTTTGGAAACTGGGGAAGTTTGAGAGATGGGGAAGAGGAGGTTGTTGTCATGATCCTGGGTTCGATCGATCACCTGCCGCTGGCTGTTGTAGGTTCAGCAGCTTTCATGGGCGAGACTGAAACACTACCCTCCGACTACTGGAAAATTTTCCGAGAGAACGATCAGCGAAGGACGAATCTACTTTCACAACAGTTTAGCGATATCCGCCGAGAGTCTGACGTGACGGAAAGTATTTTGAGCACTTACTTCATCACCTTTGACCGAATTACGAGGCAGATGCCGACAGCCGGCCATCTCTTGCGGCTAATTGCATTTGTGGATCGCCAAAATATACCCGAGCAGCTTCTGAGAGATTCTGGCGTTGAAGGGATGGATGATCCCGTTGAATTCCGTCGGGCTGTTGGGAAACTGTTGGGATTCTCGTTAATTACCGCCACCAAACACGAAGGCGAGACACTTTATGAGCTTCACCGTTTAATCCAGCTATCGGTACAGGCCTATTCACCACCGGAAGAGTTGCAGCGATGGAGTTACAACGCACTAAGAATAGTTTCCCGAATGTTCCCTAAATATGAGCACGGGCTGCGGGATATTTGCAAGTCATATATTCCACATGCACTTGCGGTAACCAAGGGTAGAATGGATATTCTTTCCGAAGATCTTTGTTTCCGCATGGCAGAATACTTTCTCCATTTGGGATCCTACAACAATGCAGAAGCACAGATCGGTCGATGTATCAGGTTTCGCGAGGAGAATAAGGAGCAAGGCTGGGATAAAGGTCATAGCAGATTCACGCTCCTGGGACGGGTGAGGGCACGCCAAGGGAGGGCAAAGGAGGCGGAGGAGATACTTCGGAATGTGCTGGAGGATCTTGGGGGTTTATTGGGTCCGAGCGATTCGGACGCCTTGGAGTGCTTATCCTACCTGGCAAGTGTGATGAATGATCTCGGAAAGTACGATGAATCAGAGACAATGAATCGGCATGCGCTCGAGGTCCGTGACAAGGTTCTCGGGAAAGACCACCCGGATACCCTAACAAGTGTCAACAACCTGGCGCTGGTGCTGCGATACCAGGGAAAGTATGATGAATCAGAGGCCGTGAATAGGCGTGCATTGGAGGGACGGGAGAGGATTCTTGGAGCAGGCCATCTAGACACCCTCATCAGTGCCAGTAACCTGGCTACCGTGCTGTGGAAACAAGGAAAGTACAGTGGATCGGAGGCGATGAATCGGCGTGCCCTGGAGGACCAGGAGAAAGTACTCGGACCAGAGCACCCTGACACCCTAAAAAGCCTCAGCAATCTGGCTATTGTCCTGCGACTCCAAGGGAAATACGGGGGATCAGAGAGGATGCATCGGCGTGCACTTGAGGG